TATATATATATAATTATGATTGATTTTTATATAATAGCATATATCCATTGAAATGATAAATTCTTTAAAATGTTGTCCTCTTTTCATGTTCAGTAAATGTGCACAAAGGATTTTTTAATACACAGTTGCAACTTAAAAAAATGTTATACTCATATACATATACAATACAAGCAATATATCGTGTCATATCGATGATAAAAATTATATTGATATTAATGCACCAGTTCAATAAAAAGAGTACAACTAATAGCAGATAAGATACAATATTGAACGAAATTTTAAATTTGTTATTTCAGAAACTATTGCACACAATCTGTACACGACTATTTTCTTATTGCATATATTATATTCTACAATTTCAACTTATTTATTATGTACATATGTTATTTACATTACACATAGAATTATCTACAATCCAGTTGTATCATTCATTCCAGACTACCTTACACATAAATGTAACAAACTGCTTCATTTACACATATATTTGACTTGTTAGTGTTCAATGTCACTGAATTTTATTCATACAGACATTATTTATACTACTGCTAGCAACAAGTTTTCGATCAAATTACGCTAAATACTTGAACGTATTTAAAAACATTGAAAATTGTTTTCAGGTACAGAATATTGTTGTTATTTGCTCGAAGTACATGAAAAGTTAGAATTTCAATTGTACAAAAGATTTCAATGTTTCGAAATACTTTCGAATGCTTTGATTCTTGAAAACCTTTTGCCAAGGATATTGTTTATATTATTATCTACTAGGCTATGAATTGTTAAATATTTGTTAACATCGTATTGATCACACACACTCTATTAACACTAAACGTACGAAGCGGGGTCAAATGGCCCGTTTTCAAAATTTACTTTAAAATCGTGCATTCGTTGTACGTTTATTCCTTTCGCTAATCTGACTTTTTGTAAATTCTTATATTATCTGATTATTCAATTCCTCGTTTTCTGTTTTTCTCGTAGCTGATTTTTTATCGAGAAAAATTCTTTGCATACCTTGTGTACCGCGAGGGGTCATTTTTACCGCTTATGGTA